CCTGCAGTGGTTATAACATGGTTTTTATGGGTACAGGGACAGTCATTCTGACACTAGGCCCTCAGAAGGCAGGCTAATATTAATTTAGTTCTGTTTAGGCCTCAACAGTATAGAAGATCTTTGAGGTACGATTTCCCAGTGTGAAAGACTTAACCACGTTAGTGTCAGTTTGAACAGACCACAAGGCCAGATAAGAGTAACTGAGAGCAGGAAAAAGAAAACTGAAGTTAAATGTTTTCCCATTATTTTCCATAGTAGCTGTTTCCCAGGGAGTATATAGTAAATACAAAGTAATAATAATAAATTAAAGGAAGATATTTGGGGAGTAAAAGGTTGGCGATAACAAGTACTCAGTTCCTGGTCTTCTCACTTTTTAATCAAAGGAAAATGAAATACTTGATACTCTTACCAGCAAGAGCCTGGTTCCAACGCAAAGTGCTGAAATGTATGTTTTAGTCCCAGTGTCTGCAAATATTTTGAGTTCTATGAGATAAAGAGCCTAAATTGAGACCAGAACCTGCAAACAGAACATTTTTCTCACCAAAATACAAAATTCTTTACAGAGGAGTAGAAGGTAGTGGTTTAATTTGCGAACAAGTCACTTGTGTGTAAATGATCCCGTCTTTAGTCTCATTTTTCTCCTATTTTAGAATTGATATGATAATGCCATCTATGATTGAGGATATTTGTTTAATAAGGATTCCTTGTTCCTCACCTCTGGCTCATTCATATTATCTACACAGGTTTGTCAAGGTCTTAATATCAAAACTATATATTTTTTTCTTCAGTTAAACGATTTTTCATATACATGTCCAGTGAAATATAAATTAATGTGCTTTATTGCTTTATTTTCTTTTAAGCATCTAGTTCATTCCAGATTAAAAACTGTCCTACATTAATATTACCATTTGAGAGGTTTCATGTCAGCAGTATTGATCAGTGACACAAGTTGTAGAAATAATGCAGAGAAGGAGCCAAAATCTCACAGCTAAAGTCTGTATAAATCTCATCTGTCTCTCTCAATTGGAGTGATGCTAATGTTGCAATATTTATGCAAAAAAGGGAAGAACTTGGCTGCTTTCATATCTCTAAATTTAGTATGTGGGTGGGCAGCGGACAGTTTCTGCCCATCTCTGTACAGCCAAGTTAATAAATCCATTTTGTATGTGACCTTTCGTCATCCATTAAAAATGTTGCTGTGGTGTTGACAATGTAGCAAGAAAGACTGGAGGAAGACCTAGTACACTTATTTCCTGTAACATTAAAGCTACTATAATTATGGGTCATTTGCCTGGCTTCTTCGGTAATTAAGAGTTTTAATTGCTTCTAGTTCCAGGGAATTAGTTAAGCTTTTCATTATGCATATTGCCTTCCATAATCATCGACTTCTCTCGTACAGCAAGCTTAGTGACATCACGGAAGTCAATTAGGTCTTTCAAGGCAGAACGGTGAAGTACATTTCTTTGTACAGAGTGGATTAGAAAAAAGTTTCTGAAAAGCCTTGATAATGCTGTTTGTGCAGCGTTTAAGCTTACTCTTTAAAAGGCAGAGCAAGACAGGGTTTCATTTACTATTTTGAAATGCACAGAGAGCTTAGAGACTAGGGATTTAGGTCACAAAGCAATACATTGTTAAGAGCAAAACCAATAGGCAGCACTGTGCTTCAATTCAGATAGCAATTGTTCTAAGCTTTGCAGGATCATCTGGATATGTATTTGTAGTTAGTAATAGTGATAATGATCAACAGATTGAAAATGTCAGTGTTAAAATTGGAGTGGGGAAAAAAAGCAATTTATTGACTGAATAAAGGAAATTAGCACAAGAGAGATTAGTTTCTTCCATTGTTCTCTAAGCATGAAAGCAGTTGCATTGTAGAAAGCACCTCTTACTTTCCCTTGACTTACTCCAAGTTGAGATCTTGATGAACGTTTTTAAAAAAAAAAAAAAAAGAAAACAGGAAGAAAGGATACGTTCCTTCTTTCTAGTCTACAGTCTGTGATGTAAATAAGTATATGTAGTGCAGCCATTAAATGTCTTGCAAAAATGTTTTCTTTGAATGAAATAAAGTTTTGGCAGGTTGCAACATGATTCTCTTAGAAGAAACAACCAAACAGGGAATCACTAAAATGAGTGCGTGCATCACTAGTTTTTCCTGGTGAAGGAGCTGTGTGTTGGGGAACCTAAAAGATGTAGTATTCTGCTGTATATTCTCCCACTGCTTCACATCTGGATTCAGTCAAAAGTTAAACTAAGTTTAGCAATTCATTGCTGTTACCCTCATTCGCTATTGGTTGCCATGTCCATTGCGTTGTGAAGAAAAGGACAAGAAAACTCATCTTGAGTGTGTAGGAAAGGATTTAACACATTGATAGTGACTATAGCAAAGGGCCTAATGCATAAGAGAGATGTGTGATAAGACAGAGCCAAGCTGCACTGTCTGAAGTGTGGGAAGAAAATTGTACAAACCATCCTAAATCTACTTTGAATTACCAAAATGACTTATGTTAATAAACTTAATATGAATAGTAGTAGCACAGCTAATAAAAATGATAATAACTGCAATCTGAACTGCAGAGGTGTTAGAAACCACTTAGTGTGCATCAGAATTTTCAGATGCTTGGTCATGCCAAAAGTTGCTCTGGATTATCCATGACCAAAAACTCAAACTTCAGACTGTGTAATGTCAAGAAGAGATGTTTTATTTTATACAGGAATGAATTCCGGAAGATTCATCTCATATTATATAAAAGATCAGACTAGATGATCTGCCTGATTTTATATAAATTGTTGAAAATCCAGTTGCAATTTGTTTGTGTTTGTAAAATTTCTAGGATCTTGTGTTTTCACCATGTGGCTGTCTTCAGCTCTTTGGCCTGTTTCATATATTTACTTTGATCCTCAGCTTGTGCTACCTCAGAACTGATACATTTTCTTGCTATGCATGCTTGATGACATCTTTCATACTCTTTATGTTGAAAAGCAAAATTTTATCTTCAATGTTACTGATAACTAACCAATTAAAAAAAAAGTTCACTCTACCATTGCAACACAATCTGAAATATGCAAACTGGAAGATTCAATTATATTTCTTTCTCCTTCTCCTTACAGAGAACACTTACGCCTGTCACATGTCTGTAAAAGTACCAGGGTACTAAATAAGTCATTTCATTTTTTGATTTTTTTTTGCTTTAGCTACCAACATTTAATAATAATAATTTCTAAGGATTAATTTAATACCAATGACAATTCACAAAACCTACCTGTACTTTTCAATTTGCTTAAGATTATTCCCCTTGAAACATATAACAGCCTTGGAAGCGTTCTCAGGATGCTATTTGACAATGCAATAAAGTTAATCTACTTAATGTTTCAAAAATGTTTATATTTTACTGAAATGTATCTTAGCTACAAAAAAAAGGAATAGTTCAGTTCTGTAAAATGATTTACAGAACAGCCCAATTGCTCAAGCCCTAGTATTATGTAAATATATACATAAAAGTTGAGAGGTAGTAAAAGGGCAAGCTTTCTCAGCATTTTAGTTCTTCATATCTGTTTATATTTTTCAGATTTGAACTCTTAGATATGCTATAAAATATTCCAGCAGTGGGCAGGATAAAGAAGAGATGTGGGTCAAGCCTCACTGTAAGCCAGATGTTGAAAGTAGCTTTCTAGATTTCCAAAACTCACCAGGAATTAGGCAAACCAAACATTACTGAAGGTGGGATTTTAACCTTACCTTTGGTATAGTCACACTTAATTTTAGTAAATGTTTCCTGTTGTATGCGCTGAAGTTTATTAAGTAGTCGACTGAGCTCATGATTATTTTCTCAAAGCATCCATAAATAGTTTTTTTCCCATGAATATATGTAATTTGTAGCCCTAAAAGACACCTAAGAAAGAATATTCCTTTGATTGTTTTCTTCAAAGTTTTTGCAACCTTTTTTTATTTGTTATAAATGTATACCTACATGAATAATGCATACCTTATAGATATAAAATGTTAGGATGACACACCTCTGCTATTTTGATTTTATTTATAAAATTTCAATTTTTACATTTGCCCTCAAACTGGAATAGTGAACAATATTTTTAAATAAAGATTTTTAAATAGATTATTAATTTTAACTCTTTGGATCAGAAAAATCAATTTCTAGTCCTGTAATCAAACACTACGATAATTTATCCACATTAGTATTAAATGCTGGAAGACGGAAAAACTATGGAGTCTTTGACAAATAGTATGTTATATATTTATTATTCTATATTATACTGTTAAACTACAAAATTTGCATAAATACAACATTAATTATTTTTAAAAACTTGCTTCTAAACTGAGATTTGGAATGCCTGTGACTATGTAGGACATGGAACTTTTACTGATTAAACTCTCTCATCTCTAAGGCTACTGCCTTTCGGTATAATTGCTAATTTTCTTTGTCAGCATGACTTTGGAAGAAATTAAGCAAATCAGAACATGAATTTGACAACACTAGTCTCACAATTAACTTCTGTCTTACTTTCTGCACTCCACCAAAATCCTAATATTGACCTAGATATTGTAGTCGTGTTCCCTCTCACGTATTTAAGAAATGTCACTGCTTTTGCCATTTTACAAGTTGTAAAACAGGTCTTGAAGGGTTAAATTAGCTTCTTATCAAGATATTTCAGCACATGCATAAGTTTATTTTAAACTTATCCTTAAATCCATCCCAATAAAACAAATCACTTAGGAGCATCTGGATAATCAGTTGTTCGGGTTTAAGTACATGTGTAGATGCTTTTTTTGAAGTGAAATGAATTTAAGGTTAATTACCATGCAGATGTTCAAATTGAGAGGTTTGCACTTGTTCTCATTAGTGGTGTCTGAGCCAGGAATTGAATTTAGCTCTCCTGCTAACTTGTATGCAGGGTCATTCTCTCTTTGGTAAAACAAACAATAAAAAGTTTGTAATAACATAATTCTTCTTTTTCTTCATTCCCCTCACCTCCTTGTTTCTCAGTGCCTTGTGTTTGAAGATTCACCACTTGGAGTCAAAGGAGCACTGAAAAAAAAAGGAATGCAAGTGGTTATGATTCCAGATGAAAATTTAAATCCAGATCTTAAAAAGGAAGCAACTCTGGTGCTGAACTCTATGGAGGACTTCAGACCAGAACTGTTTGGTTTACCGGCATATGATTAATGCCTCAAGTCTATGAACTTGCACTTGACTGGAGATCGGGAAAGTGGAATGAAATCTTGTTAAGATGTTATGATTGTTTTGCACCTTTCCCTCCATTCCTCAAAACTAGAGCACAGAAATCCTGTTAACACCAAGTCTTCCACACTGTACAATTAAAGTTGATTGGTAACATTTATCAATTGTCATCACGATGCATGCTAAGTTAAAGCAGTGTTTCTTCTTGTGAAGTGAATCCAGCTTTGTTCTCTGCACGTCATAATGTTTTCTGGGAATGCTATGAAACTATTTAGACAATTTATTGAAACTGCACTTGAAGCTTCCTGTTCTGTTTCCTCTTGAATGCCTTGTTGTTTAGCTCTTAACCAGAAATCTGTTCTGGGCTGGCTGTTGTCCCATTACATAGTTTTTGATCCAGTTATTGCTATCAACATGTTTATCCACTTCCTCTTCCTAGACTTGCCCATGTATTCCCCCTTGTATTCCCTTGTCATTTTTTTGGCAATTATTCTCTTCGTTTGTTGTACTTGCTGTGTTTTCTTGTTTTATTTTCTTGGGGGTTGAATGAGATAACTTCCAGAGGCCCCTTAAAACCTATGTTATTCTGTAATTCTGTGATTATCTTTTTTGACCATGGTGAATGCCTGCTAGGAGCTATGCAAGGTTGTGTGATTCTACCCTTTAACCAGTGCTTTGCATTCTTTCCTCTCTTTATATTCTTCTTGTTTTCCATTTTGCTGTGTTGCCTTTCATTCCTAGGAAATGAATCCATCTTTTCTCCCTGTTTTCATTCTGATGAAGTTTCTGATAAAGCTTTAACTCCTTGATATCTAAGTTGCTTTCTCTGGTCTGTCACGGTTTGAATCATCACGGCCAAACCAGTTGAAAGGTATAACAAAAAATGTATTAACCGTAACAATATCTAAAACAGGTTTGAGGGTGTCGGTGTAGGGGTTCCTGCTGATAGTGGATGGATTTGCAATAACAGATAACAGTAACAAGAATGCACAAATACAATAACCCGAGTAAACAAATGCAAATGAATAGCGAGTTGCGCTATTTACAGAGTCCAACTATTGCAGTTAATGTATAGGATCGCTCTGATTACACAGTTCAAAAGGGAATAGCCGATGAATTTTATGCAACAGAAAGTTAGACAAATAAATTACTGTGTTGCGCACGTAGGCGGGTACGAAACCCTTATAGAGACCCCCCAAGACCCACATCGGGTCTGGAGCCCTGGATATACGTATCAGAATCGGGTCTGAGACCCTAGAGAAGGGAGTGGGGAAGGGAATACCCGATGGGAATGACACACCCAATACCGAAGGGAATGACACATTAAAGGCCACTCATGGGATGAAACTGCAGTAGCTGGATCCTGACAGGGTTGTTCCTTGGCGGCGTTCCTGTCCAAGAGGAGTATTCCATCGCTTCCATGCGCTGGCTGCTTCCGTTCGGGCAATCTCAAAGCCCAGATGCTTGCGGTCGCTTTTCTAGTCACGGTCAAATTGGGAGTGCGGTCATCTAGTATTACGAGATGACTCCAGCAAGGCTGCGTTGGTTCCAGCATAGTCTCAAGCGTTCTCTTAATTGACAGGTACCAGGTAGTCTTTTCACATGAGTTCGTTCCTCCAATTCCTGTTGATCTTGTCAGCGGGAAAATATCAAACAGTAAGTCTCCCTCATTGGGGTCAATCACAGGGCAGCTCCAAGGCTATCAGGTCTACCCAGCACATTCTATGGGAGAGGAGGAGGAACCATCTCACAGGGTCATCCGTACTTTTCCATTGTTATCACTTTCTCAAGCCTTTTTCTTAAAAAGTTCCCTGTAGACAGTTTTACTGTCGATTTTTAGCAAAAGTTATAGTGTATTTAAGTAAGTACCTTAAATTTATTTTGCCCAGCTACCGTAATTATCACGCAAAATTTATCTTGTAGCCTTTCCTTCTTACCTCCGTCTGTTTCTAGCAGCTCGTCAGGACAAGGGTGAGTGTCTTTTTCAAAAATACTTAGGCGGGTTTTGGTGGAATCCACATATATGTATGTATTGAGTGGTGGAAATAATGTCTTTTCCTTATTTTTTCGTCACTTGGATATCCCTGTTTTACCTTAATCTTTAGGTCTGGAAAAGCTGTACTGTGCAGACTTCATGACTATTTTATAAAACGAATGGCAACATTCAACGTTTAAAAAATAAATTTCTATTTGAGGGGCTACAAGGTACACGAAAATTGCAGTAAAATACCTACCTCCGTAATGAGTGTGATGGTAAGAGAATTTCTATTTTTTATGAGAAGATATCTCTGAACTCATTGTAGGTTTTCAATATTGTGTGTTTATCTGTGGTCATCCTCACAAAAGATAAGTTATGTATGAGAAGAGTCAAGTGGCTGGTATCCATGCTTTTTAGGATCGAGCTACTGTAAGATTCCAAATAGTAACTCCATTAATTCTTTAATTTACAGGTAAAATCATTTTCAGGCATTTCTGGTGTTTACTATTTTGGATGGAAGGTTGTTTTGATCAGGAGCAAAAATAAGTGAATCTTAGAGGCTTCAGTATTGTGCATGAGTTTCCTTGTGATATTTTTTCCTCCAAAAGTAAAAAAAAAAAAAAAGAAAGAAAAGAAACAATTGCTTTTTCATCTTAGAAGTAGATTTACTGTTTTCTGCTACTGTAATCTATTCCTGCCTCAAAAAATTAAGAAAATTTTATTCCCTCCTGTCAGCCGAATATGATCTATATGGTACCAGAAGATTTTTAGCACATACAATATAATAGTTTGCCATTTGATGCTTTTCATCTAAAAATCTGAGAGTTTTTTTTTTTGAAAGGGTAAACATTGTTTCTGTGTAGTTTTTTTGCATATTCCATAATTTCTTTAAGCCCATGAAGGTTGTAGCCCCAGTATTCATACAGTGGCAAAAAAAACCAGCCCACCTACTGTAAATTCCATTTCTGTTTCTTCCAATCAAGATTTGCTGCTATGTAATTCCTTCCGTAACTTAAGTTCCGTAACACAAAGTGTTACCGTAGAGCAATAATTCTGAGCTTTCAAGTGTAAAACAAGTGCCTGTTGGGATCCCCTTCGTTCATAATTACTGAATTCCAGCAGGGAAGTACTAGGTAGAACAAGCTTTAGTAAGTTGTAATTAGGAACTTTTTCAAAGTTTTGCATATATTGAATTTAACTTGGGAGTTCTACAAGAAAATAAAAATGAAGCATGTGTCTCATTTAGAGTATACTTCCGAGGAACCACCATCAAAGTCTTGCATTTGCTTTTTAAAGATTCAGAAGCACTAATAAATATCAAATGTCACTGACAATATTAGAATTATGTTATCATGCCAATCATGTGATCAGTGTACCCTTCCGTTCTAATATAATAATCTCATTTTTTGCTAAGAATTAAGAGTCAGAAAGCTTTCTTTTAGCTCCACAGTAAATCCTGTCCCACACATGTATTCTTTCCTGCATTTAATATCCCAACTAACAGTTTTTTGTGAAGTTATTGCCCGAAACTGAAATCTGTCAAACAGAGCCGTATGATATGTCCTTCACCTCCTTTTAGTAAAATTCCATTCCGCTGTTTTACTACTTGTTACCTACCTCCTGGACATGTCTCAACTTACTCTTACTAAAGCAAGTACTGTATTGCAATTAGCTCTTCTCTTGACTGAAAGAGAAGTCAAAAAAATTAAACAAAATAAAATTGCTCAGTTACAATAATCTGAAAAATCTTGTCATCTCCACCAGATGAGAGGCAGATATTCATGGCAGCCCTAGGTGACTGTAGTCTGCCTCATTAACTATATACCAAATATCAGCATATGTTAGTATATATTTCTTTACCCCCTTTTTGGTTCATTTTGTGGCTCCGTAGCTCAGTCATCTCAACAACATCTGTTTGGACAAAAAAAGATCAAAAACTTGGATTCTTTCCCTTCCTTCCATCTGCTACCCTCCAGATGAAGTCCTGTTTTGACTGGACTAAAAAAATCCATACCAGATCCTGGCTACAGATCATCAGGACATCTGAGCAATCAGGACATTTGAATGTTCCATCTGTGTTTCTATGAAGAGGACTGTTAAAAAGTAATGCACAAAATCTATACTCTGTAATTCAGCAAGAAGACTCAATCCAGAAGAGTACTTAAGCACGTGGATAAGTCATTTTTTATTAAGCATCTCAAATAAGCACATGCTTAATTTTAAGGATACATTTAGCTTTATTTGATTTGTGTTTCAGACATGTCCTGAAAAGATTTCTCTGGAATATAGAACTTAATACTGTGGCCAGAAGGCCATATTCTCAGATTATGGGTTTAGGATACTTCTGCTTCTGTATCGAACAAACAAATAAAGGAAGAAAAGAGTTATGACAGGTAAATGAGAGGCATCGCATACATCATTATTGGATCTTAGTGATGCTCTCTATTTCTTTGGCATTGTCAAATATTTCCTGAATTGTGCTAATGGAACAGTAAGCAGCTGTTTGGTGTAAACTCTTACTTGTAATCCTTGTAGACTTAAACAAATAAATTCCAGCCTCAACAGACTAAAGGCAAAACTTTGTGGCCAAGTTTTTGTCACCGAAGTACAGAGAATAAGATGTGTGCAACAAGAGCCAAATTCAAGTAAGTAATTAAAAAAGCAGGTCAATGATATATGAAGTGTTGTACTGGAACTTAAACTTTCTCCTCTCTCACAAGTGAATTAAGTAAGTTTTCCGTTTACTTGAACTCTACTGGGATTCATCATGGCAAAATTTCTCATCATTCTAGGTTACAAAGACAGGTTTGAAAAGGAGCTTCGTTTAATGTATTTAGATGAAAAGCCATAGCGTTGGAAAGGGAATAATTTCAAAACATAATCTGACTTCTGTGAAGCTTGGAATTTGCATTTACAAATAAAGATCAGAAAAGGCTTTAGATGTTCATTCTCATTTAGATTAGATGTCTTTCTAAAGAATGCTATAGTTAAACCATAGAAACTTCTGTGCAGAATCAAGCTTCTGTGCCACATGTTGAAAACATTGTCTTTAGTAGAAACCAAACTAGATAAATCAGAAGAAAAATGCAAGAAACTTCGTATTAAGAAGACATGAACTAATTTTCCACTGTATTAGGACTTATCTTTAATAATTAGAGATTAGCTTAACTGAAGCTTAAGATTTAGTGCTTTATTACGAGCTCTAGATATTGGTTATCGATATAGAAGTTCATTTATTTTTTTAATCTTGATAAGTTTGGACCCCAAGAACATTCCCTTGGCAGTAAATGCCACAATTCCATGAGCTATGTGAAAAATATTTCCATTTATTTGTTTCTAATTTGCCACTTCGTAATTTCAATGAACTTCTTGTGTTTTGACATTGATAAGATAGAACAGATTTGTGGTGAATTAGTAGAAAAAAATACTGAAATGAAGGAAAAGGAGGTCTCTCAGAACACTCCTCTCTGCCAAAGAAAAAATGACTGTCATTCTCACATTGTGTTAACCTTTCCTTTGGCAGATGCCTCATAAATTATGAGTTTAATCTCTGCTTACTAAAGTGGTGGAAGAGATCCTTTTGGAAAATAGAGATGGGGAGAGGACTTACTTATACTAAAGATGTGACGAGAACTTGCAATGGATGAGGATCCTAAACCAACAGCAGGTGCTCACTGAGTATGTTGGTGTCCATGTCCGTACCAGATATTTCAGTGCAACATAAAGATTGCTTTTAAAGGAAAGGGGTTATCAAAGTATTCTTAGGAAGGCTGTTGGTCTCTTCTGTTCTTCAGCTCTTTGACTTATAGATTCTAAGCCATCATATCCAAAATGTTAG